TATGTATGTGTGTGTGTAAATAAGTATGTATGTATGTATGCATGTCTGTCTGTCTGCCTGTCTGTCTGTCCTTCTGTATGTGTGTATTAATTGATTTCTTTGTATGTATGAATTTACTTATTTGGTTATTGAGTTATTCATTTATTGATTAGTTAATTTTCTAATCTACAGTATGTCTTTCTTTATTTATTTCTTGCCTTATTGTATTATGTCGCTCGTTCTTTCTTTCCATATTTATTCATGTCCTTCGTTCTTTATTTCCTTCCCTCCTTCCTTCCTTCCATGTATTATTTTCCGTTTCTTTGTTTTCTTCTTTTCTTGAGCTCTTGCTTTCTTGCGTTCTTTGCAATCTTACTTTCTTGCTTGGTTTGCTTTATTGCTGTCCTGCTTTCTTGCTTTCGTTGTGTCTGTCTTTCTTTCCTTCTTTCTTTCTTTCCTTTTCTTTTCTTTCCTTTCCCTTCCTAATTTGTTCTTTTGTTTGCTGTGCTTTGCTTTCTTTCTTTTCTTTCCTTGTATGAGCCCGCAAGACACAGCCTCAGCCCCCAGGAACGCAACCTTTGCCAACCAGCTGTTGGAGTTCCAACTTACAAGCTGACTTCGTAAAACTGCTCCTACCACTCCACCCCCAAGCACAGCTTCAAGTTTGGTCTAGCTTAGTTCACTAGTTCACGGAATGTGATTCCTTGGGTCCCGAACCACAGGTTTCGGCCCCCGAGCATCCCCAATTTCGCTTGTGACGCGCCGCCCCCGGTTTTTGTTTGCAACCGGAGAGGGCTTCCGTCCCCAGATCTACTGGATGGAGTATACAACTGTCATGCAGCGTGCTGTACCTCTACGGTATCCGAAAACTGTATATGTAGATATGTGAGTATTTCTATATATATATATTATATATATATATGTATGCAACAAAAATGCACATAGATTGTCGCATCTTCATGCAACATCTCTCCCTGGGCCCTTGGTGCACGTGGCTTGCGGCACGTCGCTCCTGAGGCCTTGGGCTCTTCGAGCAGCGCAGTCCTCCAGCTGAGCATGATAACGTGGGGTGGGGGGTGATCAAAAATTGAACCCATTTAAGGGGACCCTGGAAAATGGAAACAAGGACAAAAAAGGACTAACACCTGCAGCTATTCCCTAATAATCTTATACTTTCGACTTTTGACCCAGACATGTTTCTGCCGGGAGAAACACAAAAAGGGGGGCGCTTCCCTCATGTCGCTTGAGGTTCTTGCATGGTGGCAAAGGCCAATTTAAAGTGAGCTTCTTTTGAGAATGGATGCCACCTGGGAGTTGAGTGCTTCTAACCCACGAATCGGGTTGTGGGCCCAACCACCAAAAAAAAACGTTGCAAGTCCTCACATCGGGTCCAACTGTTTCTTTACGGAGATCGACAAGTCCCAACCTGACTGGTGTGTTCTCAAATTTTAGGGCCGAATGTCTCTCCTGACAAGGAGTTCCCTCTGTCCGGTTGTTGTCTGTCCCGTGTCACTCCCAAATTGACCATAGACTTCTGGATAGTTGGCAGAACCCCAAACAGGCGTTTATCAAAAGAAGGAATCCCCCCAATTTCTTGGTTGTCCATCCCAAAGGTAGTCCCCTTGGGAAATATGCACCATCAGGGGCAGTGGTTGTTTTAGGATACAACTTTACTTGCCTCTCATTCCAGAAGCTATCGATTCTGGCCCACGTGATTGTCCAAGAAAACCACTCTTTTGGGGGGCAAAGTGACCCCTCTCTGAAGCATGTTCTGCGGATCGGAAACTGAACGCGTGACACGCAAAAGCGGCTTGACCCGCAACACAAAAAAGACGCGCGCTTCCCCAAGAGCAAGCAAACCAGGAACCTTTCTGACACACGCTCACATGGTCAAATGGTTACAGTCCCTGGAGTCTGCTGTCCCGCAGCTACATGGCCAACCGGGTCCGAAAAAGACTCCTGGAGTCGTATCCAAAACCAACCACTCGATGGCTTTGGGTCTTTTGGCCAGGCTCCCATGGCGTCTGATGGATTGGGGGGAGCCAACTTCCATCCAAGTGATGTCCACGGTGCCCAAACACTTGCTATGTATAAGGCCCCTTCTTGAAATCTGGGTCAGGCGCATGTTGGGCTGGTTTTTGCAGTTGGCCCGAAAACAGGGTCGCCATTCCAAACCAAGCCTTCCCTTTCATGGTTGGCATTCCCCAGCCAGCTGCCCCCCAAAAAAAACAGAAAGATCTGAAAAACAAACACAAACCCCTGAAAAGCAACGTTTGCAGCTTCTGATGCAGCCATGCACCATGAGGCTTGATCTTGTTTACCACTATAGGCTACAGCAGCCGGCCAGGGTTTGGCTTTTTCTAGGCTTCACCTTGTGGTCCGAGTTCCCCGGTTTCGTATACAGAGCGGAAAAAAAAGGGGGAAGAGAAAAAACATGCTTCAAACCAAAAGTTTCGAAGGTTTTTTAAGGATCAAACCCAAAAAAGTCGCCAGCGCCTACCGGCAGATCTTATCCTGATCCCTCGGGCCCCCCCCCCCGCGCCTCTGCACATCGCCAACCTGGGCACTGGGACGTCAGCTCAGGCTCAGCCGGCCCCATTGAGCCAAAGCCAACCGCAAAATGTGTTGGGTCCCAGGGGAGGAAAAAAAAACGCTTTGGACTTTGGAACCATGGAATCGGTCCAAAAAAAAAAACTCGGCTCGGAAACGGATTTTGTTTGGAACTTCGGGCGTGAGGTGCAAAAATGGCACAAAGTCTTGTTTCTGCCTGGTAGCTTCCCAACCCAAAAAGGCTTTGAGACTGAGGTCTCGGTGATTCGGACCAAGGTTAGACAAAATTGGTCGACCCTGTAGCATCATCATCTGTTGCACTGAAGCTGTCTGCAAGCGCATTGTGGCTTCAAGCTACTTGAAGAAAAAGTTGAAGCCTTGGACGATTCTCCGCCTATTATTCACAGAAGTCGTCCCAAATATGCCGCAGTTCAAGAACATCTTGAAACTTGGGATGATTCACCATGCGTACATGTGCGTTCAGTTTTGTTGCGAAGACACCAAGAGCGCACCTTCTCATACTCTGACCAGACAAAAACAGGACGTCCTCAAGTGTGTGATGTGTTTGTTTGTTCTTTCTTTCTTTCTCTCTTTCTTTCTCTCTTTATTTCTTTCTTTCTTTCTTTCTTTCTTTCCTTCCTTCTTTCTTTCTTTCTTTCTTTCTTTCTTTCTTTCGTTCTTCCTTTCTGTCTTTCTTTCGTTCTTTCTTTCTGCTTTGCTTTGATTTGCTCTGCTCTGGTTTGCTTTGCTCTGTTTTGCTTTGACTTGCTTTGCTTTTGTTTGCTTTGATTTGCTTTGCTTCGCTTGCTTGCTTTCTTTTGCTTGCTTGCCTGCTTGCTGTCTGTTGCTTACTTGCTTGCTTGCTTGTTTGCTTGTTTGTTTGATTGTTTGCTTGTTTGCTTGTTTGCTTGTTTGCTTGTTTGCTTGTTTGCTTGTTTGATTGATTGATTGAATGATTGATTGATTGATTGATTGATTGATTGGTTGGTTGGTTGCTTGGTTGGTTGATTGATTGACTGGTTGATTGATTGTGCGTTTGCTTTTGTTTGTTTGTTGTGTGTACGTGCGGGTGAGCGGGCGTGTGCCGGTGTGCGGGTGCTTGGGTGCGCGCGTGTGCGGGTGTGTGCGGGTGCGGGTGCGTGGGTGTGTGGGTCTATGCCTGGGTGTGTGTGTGTGTGTGTGTCTGCTTCTGCGCCTGTGTCTGTGTGCACATGTCATTACATGTCCTACCAACATATTGCACCCGTCAAAGGGAAACCCTCTTAACTTGACGCCAGAAACCAAAGCGTTCGCTCCTTTGAATACGGCGAATACATCCCTCTCACTAGTATGAAACCTGACAGAAGGTCTGCCTTGTCCCCTCCGAAAGGCGAAACAAATTATAACTCGGACTGTTGCAGGAAAAAGGAAAAACACCACTTTGGGGCTCCCCCAATTGGGGGCTGATCACTCCCTTCGGCTCCCAAGTGACCATGGCTTATTTTTCCCATTGGGAAAGTCCATCTTTCTAGCGGTTTTTTCTCCCTAGTGGGTGATCCCACACAAAGGACCTTTTGATCAATCATGTTTGCTCTAGCACTCTGGGCTGCGGGCAGGGGTGCGCATGGCTTTCCGCGCATACCCCGAAAAAGGCAAAGTCTGCTCGAGTGCCCGGACCCCTGTCTGGTTGGCTGGTAGGCAAATGGTCCAAACATGGAGAAACACTCCTTTCTTGATGACGTCTACAAAGGAAGCTAAGGGGACTACCAGATGTTAGAGCCCAATTTCGGATTGTTTTGACGCAGCATTCTTCACCTAACACATAAGAGAATGTGTGGCTCCACTATTCGCAGGCAGTCTAAACACGAAGCACAATCTTGTTGATGTTGCCCCAACCCTTGGGCAGTATCATTTGCCTCTTGTCGACTTCACTCCCTGTGGGTACAGAATATCACGCGGTACTCTTGCTTGGACATGTGTTTGAGCCTCCCGGCAAAATGCTGCAGGCAGGGTTTACAGGAGCTCATCCAACGCGCTACTTCCACGCGGATTGGAAAGTGGGCCACTGGGTGTTTCACCACGACACATGTGGGCCCAGAAGCGAAACCCTTGAATACCCGCCCCCCTTCTTTGCTGCTGATGGAACTGGCGATGGATGCCACCACTGGTCATCCCCTGCATTTGTCATGTACGTCCCAGCCAATTTTGACGGGGGTTGGACAGGTTGGGCATGCTGTTCTTTGTTTTTGAGGGATGTTGGACCCTTTGGCCCCTTCGCACATTTTTGGACATCTTGCTCAGGGGAGAGGCGGACGTTTTGGAGGACCCCCGCCTTGAACTCAAGACCCCTTACCACAGTCAGGGTTCCAATGAAAATCCAAACAGGCGGATCCTCTCTACAGGTTGGTGAACTCCCAGTTTCAAGCCCTGAAACAGGTGTATCCCTATTCAACAACAGCTGGCGTCGCTTGCAAGTCGGCTCGGCCCGCTGCACAGCAAGGCGGGCTCGGCCAACGACAGCGACCTCCGAAAACGAAACGGTCGATCCCCGCACCTCTCCGCGGTTTCGGCTTGTGGGGTGCAAAGCGCATGGTGAGTTCCAACCCATGAACATCACCCCCACAAGAAAAGTAACTTTTGGTTGGCCAAAAAGGCTATATTTGCTGTCCAAGCAATCTAGGGAAATACAGGGATTTCTGGTATTTTGGCGACGAGGGTGGGCAATCCAGATTCCGCTGCATGTGTGGCGTTGTCTTTGTTTTGTGCTGGAGAATGGTGTGCTTCTCTGGTTGCAGATTTTGCTACTTCTGTTGCAAATTCTGCGTCATTGAACTGGAGAGGGTGAGTTGCCGACATGAAACGCTCCTCATCCGCTTCTCAAAGCTCCCCAAATTCGCGCACAACGGAGCTCGGAACAAGGTTGACAAACGAAATCCAAATTGCATCTGGCAACCCTTCCCCGGTCCAACCACGGTGCGACTTCTGATTTGCAACGACAGCGCCTTCTCAGGAAGAGGTCGTACCCGACAACCCCAAACCTCAAAGGTGGCTGCGAAGCCACAACAAACATGGTGGCAAAATGCCAATGCGAGTTCGGGGGTGAGGGGGAGGGGTGAGTGACATGTTCGGCCATGAAAAGGGAAATTTAAGCGGAAGGGAAGCTCCTGATCAAAATCAGGCCTGCTTCTTTGATCCTGGTATAGTAGTAAAGGAGTCTACCAATGCCCATGTTCTGAAACTATTTGCAGCACCTGTTGCTGGCAACGGGGCTTTGCCACCAAAACTAGCTTTATTCTACATGCTCAAGGGCTTGATGGCGGTTCACATTTTGAAAGCCAGAACTGGATGGTTCCCCAGGAAGTCAATGCCCAACTCATGTTTTGCTGCCTAGATAGCTGAAGCACGGGAGCATGGCAGGAAGCCGTTGCAAAGCGCTGCTGGAGCGTGTGACTGCTGTTGATGTGCGCCGCTAAAAGTCTGATTGATAGTTGCATAGGGTGCCGTTGTCGAGCGCCGCGCGGGGTGCTGCTGAAGGGTGCTGCGCAGCAAACAAGATGCGCGCCCAAGGCTGCTTCCGTGTTTCGTTCGCCGCATTCGCAGTTGTCAAGCACATGCTTCTGAGCACCATAATTGGTACTCACTCCAGTCTTACCGCGATCATCGCTGTACTGTTTCTCTGGACATTCCTGATTACTGATGCCACGCTCATCGTACTCTACCCAGTCAAGGAAAGTAACACGTCTGGTTCGCGCACCCGTCTTCTTGTCGTAGGAAACCCTCCGGTTAGGGGTAGCCGGAACACACATAGTTTTCCCGGACTGCAGGTGGACTCGGCTTATCTCGTTAAATCTTCCCAGATTGGGAATTATTGGCTTTGCTTTCCCCTTCGTCTCTTCTTGTTCTTATCCGATTCCGACCCAGAGTAAGTGGACTTCTCTGTCTGACCCCTTTTCCGAAGGTGCTGCACTCTTTGGATGTTTGAACTTGCAGTCTTTTCCCTTCTTATAGGCGCCTTCTTCCAGAATGAGAAGATCCCGTTGTTCTTGGGGCGCTCCCCCGGAGGAGAGTTACTCCGTTTCGGTCCCTGTTTGTATTTCTTCTTCATCGGTGTACGTATTCTTCTGACGACTGTAATTGCAATCGGATTCTTTTGTGCATTTCCCGCGATAAAAGTCGAACTGACATGGAATGTTCTTAAGTGCTCCCTCCAGGCAGTTATTCCTTGGAGTACAACCAGACTTTGGCCTGTCTGCCCTCGCGTTATGTTTGGGCCTTCCCGCTTGTCTGGAAGCATGCGGGCCAAGTTGGTTGCTTCGGCCTTGCCCTTTGGTTTGAGCTTAGGATCTTTCTTGGGGCCCTTTTTTGTGGCAGGAAGAGCTGGTCCCATCTGGTTGTCCTTGAGGAGTTTCCCTTTGTTCTCCCAGTTCTTCTCTTCTTTGGTTGCCTGCGATCACTCCCTTTGACCGCTTTGCCCAGCTTGATTAGTTGGCTTTGATCATCTTTTCTAGGTCGATCACAAGTTTGCTGTCAATACCTGAAAACCTTGATCCTAGCTCCTCAACATTAGCGTTGGGGCTAAACGATTCGGCTAACCATGCCGACCAAGCTTCACTGTCGGCGTCTCCACATCCAGCAAGCAATTTAGACAAGAAGCATTCCACATGTCCAACTGATTGAATTTACACTGATTGTCTCAGCTTCTTTCTCAAAACCTTCGTACCGGTAACCACATCAGAACTTGCAGGAAAGACTAGACTGGGACGGCTGAACTGCGCAACAGCGGTGGGGTCGAAATGGCCCCGAACTTGGGACTATCCCCCTTCTGTTCTTGCACAATCTCTTCGTATCTACCGCTCAAACCTTCTAACGCTTCCTGCAATTCTCTCGGCACTGAAGTGTGGCAATAGCGTGAGGCGTCACCTGCTTCCTGGAGCCAATATGCGAACTAAGCTATGAGGGAAATAGGGGCAACATACCCCTAAGAATCTCAACTCTCTTCGGCGTGACACCCGCGACCAAAACACACGCCGTAGTTGTTCCAGCTTATGTCGTCACTCATCCGCATGTGCTCTAGCAAGAGAGAGGGGGCTTCACCCAGATCAAGATCTAACTCTGAGAGAGAGGGCCCCAAGGTCACGAAGAGATCAGAGTCAGGAAAGAAGAGGGAAGCTGAGATCATTGTCCGTGGCTGCCAACCCCATTGTCCTTTCCAGCGCGTCCGAAATCAATCGACTCTCTTCACAGCATGCCCGCTGCTACTCAACATCACGCAGGGGCTGGAGAAGACTCGGGCTCGTCCTCAAAACCGACCGGATAACGACCCATCTGCACAAAGCACAACACGGACGACATACTTCGAGATCAGACGCCATCTCCACCTTTACACGGTCCTACTCCTCCAACCTCTATGCCTCAGGCTGCATCAAGAAGTATGCCTGCATCATCGGTCGAAGGATCCGGGGAGAGCAAACCAACCACATGCTCAACCTGATCCTCAACGAAGTTAAGGATTGGCAAGTCCGAGATCATGATTTGGAGACTGTCCCTGACAGGCTTTGAGCCATACAGGTTCGAGCGACACAAGTACAAACAGACGCTTGGCAGCTGCCGCCGTTCACGCACAGGTTGAACAACATGTGCACCACCGAAGTTTTACAAGAGAGCGAAAGAGAGAGAAAGAAAGGGAGAAAGCGAGAGAGAAAGAGAGAGAAAGAGAGGGAAAGAAAGAGAAAGAGAGAGAGAGAGAGAAAGAGAGAGAAAGAGAGAGAAAGAAAGAGACAGAAGCCTTTAATGATTCTCGGCGCACAGAGCAAAAAACTACTAAAAGTGCTCTTTCATCATCTGTCGTGTGTTTGCAAAATGATCCACACTGTCCTTATCAGTGAGCCTTTGCTGAGAGAATCTTGAGAGGTCGGTTGGGTAATTCCCTCCTCCTGCGCTGTCTCTTGCAACAGTAAGTAAAGGACCCAGTGGTCACGTAGGACAACTGTGCCTCATCGAGCACAAGGTCGGCGTCCTGATCATTGCGCGCTCTTGTCCTCTGAGAGTCATCTGATCGGTCATCTTCATGTTGATCAGAATATCTTTGAATGCGTTGCAACCTTCCAGCGCTTGATGCTGTAGGAACGTGAGGAATAGGTTCTTCTTCATCGTCTGAATCCATTGGTAAGTTGGCTGGATTGTTCGGATTGTCTCTTGACAAGGAAGCTGGATCATTTCTGGAAGAAAGGTCGGAGGACTGCTCTGCGCTTTACTTTTCTGCTGCCTCCAGATTAGGCAGGCTCTTCGTCATCGTCTTCACTCTGCGCGTGTTCCAAATTACTGGTGGTGATGGCACCACAACAGTCGGTAAAAGTGGCTGTGTCGCCTCCGGTCGAGTTGGCAAGGAAACATTTGCCCGGTGGCTTGCCAGGCTTATCATGCGGCGGCAGCGACGGTGGCTTGACCGGACTGTCTGGTGACACGGGCCTGGCGGTCTCGGCGGTCTTGGATCACATTGAAGGCCTAGGTTCATCAGGCAGATCGGGTGGATCTGCGGTGATGGGCAGGGGCTTGATTGCTGGTGCTTCTGTCCACGAGTTGTGAACTATGAGCACATGCTCGCACGCCATTGCCGTGGATCAAACTCATCCCAGTCGCATTTGCACGCGGGCATGACCCAACTCCATTCAGCTGGTCTGGCTGCGACAAGAATGCGCACGCATCATCTGGTGACATGAGTGGCACGCTGGTTCAAATCGTACCAACATGCCTGGCACATAGAGGGCCATTCCACATGGTCGCACATCATTTGGGTGTTGTCGAAAAGATCCGTCTCTGTGCTGAAACTGTTTCACGGTTTCCTGAAGCTTGGACAAGTGAATCAGTGATGGCTAATGGTTCTCATGATGTGTGCCAGGTCCTGGCAGAACTGGCAAGACATTCCTGTGCCAATTTGGTTCTGCTTCCAAATGTACCCACATTTCCTTCCAATGGCTGATGCTAGTAGGGTTTTGCATTTTCTGAAAACTACCTTCATACCAGGCTTGTCGGCTTCAGGCTTCTGAGCCCTGATTCAGGATCTGTCAGTCCGTTTGCGCAAAAATGACAATCGCCCCAAGTGTGAGTGATCGGTCTCAGAACAGCTGCTGTGCAAATAGCGGATTCTGGATGTCTGAAAATTCTCCATGATGAAGTATCGCGTTCAACTGATCTCTCGCAATTGGTGCCACAAATTCAACCATTGGGAAATAGCGCTGAGTCTTCTCCCAAACTTTCTTTTTGTCGTGTTGGATGTTCTGCGTGTTCGACCATGGTCCGCACACCGGCGAGAAGAGGAAAACAATGACTTTCGAATAAGGAATAAGGAATATGTAGTGGTATATCCGACAATACGTTTAACTTGTTGGAGATATGATGCTTGTAAACAAGTACCTCTCCGTTGCGTCGCACCCGCAATCAGTGACCAGGATGCTCTGCACCTTTTGCCTCTTCATGATTGGCGGCAAGATCGCGTCCACGCGCGCCTAAGATTGGTACATCCTCCGTGAACTCCACTAGGTGGACCAAAATCGACGGCAACATAAGGCACTTTCTTCTTCTCCATCATCATGGATATTTTCCCCTGCTGCCGCTGGGCTCATCATTATTGTTATTGGAGCTCAAATCTTTGGAAAATACGTCCATGTGCTCCATGATTCAAGGGAAGAAGAAGCTGAACCACTTCAATGGAATGTCATTTTCTGATGCTTTCTTTATTCCCTCCAGGCATTCTGGAGGTTCTAACATGATTCTAGGAACTGTCCATGTCTCTCAAGTTTCAATTCTTGTACGTATCTTCGCATTGGTTCAACCAACATGTGACTGTAATTTCAGCGCGCAAAGCTGTAAACCTTTCGGAACAATCAACAACTATTTAGATTGGCAGCGGCATCATTTCCCACGGTGCTATCGCGGCACTACTCCGCATATTCAGGCTTTTGATCTGAGTGCCCCTTTCGAGGTTGGTTGGTATTTGGAAGGAAAGGAAACTTCCAGATTTCGAGGAGCCCTGCTTGCGAGACCACCGCCGCTTTCGTTTTCAGCCCCCTTCACACGAGGCTTGGGCTGGAAGACCTTGATGCCCACACCCAGGTGCTTCGCCACCTGCGAAGCATTCAACCGAAACAAACGTATGACAGGGCAAGGGTGAACCTGATGGCACAATCGACCATTCCCTTTGAGTAAAGGGAGCTGAACCATGTCAAACCAACATGGGGAACTTGCATCATTTTTCGGCCAACGGTGACTTGTGGTTCCAGTTCGGCAAAGGAGCCGCGCCGTGCCGGCGGCCTTTTTTTTCTCTCTGGCGCCTGCCAGTAGACCCCCTCGTCGAAGTCCAGCAAAGGCTTCAAGGGCCCTTTGCAGCATCTCATGAAAGACCTGGGCACGCACTCGCAGACTCAGCCTGGGATTTATGAGTTTGTCCTGTTTTTTGAGGGTAGCAACTTAGGGTCTTAAAGGGAAGGGGAAACCAGTCAGAGGGTTCCCTTTCAAACAAGCCTTCTCCAAAGGGGGAAGCGAAAAATCGCCCAAAGTGGATGGGCCCCCTTTCGTTTCCAAATCCAAGGCTAACACCGTAAAAAGAACACCCATAGGCAGAAATCAATCAGCCCAAGTGCACCTGGTTGCCCCAGGTTTTCGCTGCAATCCGGAGAAAAGACATCACCGCAGCGGCTAGTGGCCCGTGTTGACAGATTCCATTCTATGCGGAGAAGAAGAAAAAAGAGGGGGGGAACGCAAAGACCTAAGTTGCAAGACTATCTCACTGGGCACCGAGCTCGGGGAACTGGTAGATGTAGCCATAGAGAAACCGCCTTGCGAAGCACGCCAGTTTGTGAGACGGAATTGCCAACTCCGCTACCCTCCCTCCCACTAACATAGCACCTGCGGGAGGGTACCTGGAAGAGCAATTTCCTCTTGAAGCGACCCTCTGTGAGGTGCTATGTTAGTTGGAGAGAGGGTACTGCAACACATTCCTTGCCCAAACCATTCCTGGCGCGTCCTCGCGACTGCTCGCTGGCAACTCGGTCTTAAACTGCATCGAGATGCTCAAGGTTCTGTTCAATGGAGGATTCATGGACGGAAAGGGGCGACTGTTTTTGGTAACACCCACGTGGTGGATCCTTTCAGACCCTTGTAATGGAACGGCATCATCAATTGGAGGCTTACGTACATCTTTATTTGCCCCAATACCCTGGATTTTAACGGGATCTTCACCAGGGTCGTTTCAACAATACAAATACAACATACCGAATCGTATCGTTGCGTATTGCGAGCTATCGGTATCGAAAAGCAAGTATCGCAACCTCACATCGTATCGAAGACTATCGCTGCAAATCGTTTTGAATCATACCGATTTGTATCGGTATCGGTTGGGGTTTGCTTTGAGGGGCCCTTTGGGGCCAGAAGGGCGGCAGCCAGCTGCTGCTGCGCTGGTGGCTGCCTGGCACGGGAGGCGCTGGAAAACAGACTGAGACTGCTTCAAGCCGATTCCATGTTGAACACTTCCCAGGGCTCATCCGGACAGCTGCAACCAGCCGAGGCAAGAAATCAACCTAACTCGGCGAGTTAGATCGTTTTTGAGGGTTCCCACTTCTCAGGGCTCATCCGGGACAGCTGCAACCAGCCAAGGCCAGAAATCAACCTAACTCGACGAGTTAGATCGTTTTTTCATTGAGGGTTCCCACTTCCCAGGACTCATCCGGGACAGCTGCAACCAGCCAAGGCCAGAAATCAACCTAACTCGGCGAGTTAGATTGTTCTTGAGGGTTCCCGCTTGTCAGGGCTCATCCGGGACAGCTGCAACCAGCCAAGGCCAGAAATCAACCTAACTCGGCGAGTTAGATCGTTTTTGAGGGTTCCCACTTCCCAGGGCTCATCCGGGACAGCTGCAACCAGCCAAGGCCAGAAATCAACCTAACTCGGCGAGTTAGATCGTTTTTGAGGGTTCCCACTTCCCAGGGCTCATCCGGGACAGCTGCAACCAGCCAAGGCCAGAAATCAACCTAACTCGGCGAGTTAGATCGTTTTTGAGGGTTCCCACTTCTCAGGGCTCATCCGGGACAGCTGCAACCAGCCAAGGCCAGAAATCAACCTAACTCGGCGAGTTAGATCGTTTTTGAGGGTTCCCACTTCCCAGGGCTCATCCGGGACAGCTGCAACCAGCCGAGGCCAGAAATCAACCTAACTCGGCGAGTTAGATCGTTTTTGAGGGTTCCCACTTCCCAGGGCTCATCCGGGACAGCTGCAACCAGCCGAGGCCAGAAATCAACCTAACTCGGCGAGTTAGATCGTTTTTGAGGGTTCCCACTTCCCAGGGCTCATCCGGGACAGCTGCAACCAGCCAAGGCCAGAAATCAACCTAACTCGGCGAGTTAGATCGTTTTTGAGGGTTCCCACTTCCCAGACCTCATCCGGGACAGCTGCAACCAGCCAAGGCCAGAAATAAACCTAACTCGGCGAGCTAGATCGTTTTTGAGGGTTCCCACTTCCCAGGGCTCATCCGGGACAGCTGCAACTCGCCGAGTTAGGTTGATTTCTGGCCTTGGCTGGTTGCAGCTGTCCCGGATGAGCCCTGAAGTGGGAACCCTCAAAAACGATCTAACTCATCCGGGACAGCTGCGACAGCAGAAACCACCTAACTCGGCGAGTTAGATCGTTTTTGAGGGGTTCGGGAACTCCTCAACCGGACCAAAATCAATGTCGATTTCATACCTTTTTTTGAGTACTTTGGTGTAGTGGATTGGCTTTGGCTCTGGCACCTGTAGAAGTGTGGGCTCGATTCTTGCTTCTTTCGGGCTTTTGGCGACGAATTCGAGGTTCCCAGCCTGTTGGCGCACACCAGCGCGCAGCCGCAGGGCCGCAGCGGTTGAGTATATTCCTTTATCGAGATATTGTTCAATACTCCCCTGCTGTATCGCAAGTTTTTCGGATATTCAAAGCAATACATATCAATAAAATCGAGTGGTATCGCGGAGCTTGCGGTACCGAACCGTATCGTCATCGAAACAGCCCTGTTCACAGAGGTCAAATCAATTGACGCTGGAGGTTGAGCTCAGCTAGCTCATGCCTTTCCTCCGTCCCTTCCGCCAATTCTAGAAAAAATAACCTGAAGTCTGGACTTCCCAGGATTCCAAAGACCGAGGTCAGCTGGTTTTTCACCCCAAAGCTCGCCAGGAATTGGCAGCGCTTCTTCCCTCCCCCAAGCTCCCCCGCTCGATGCCCAGCAGCGGGAAGGCCGCCAGCTCAAAGCTCATGGCTCCGACAAGGCGCTGCGCTCACTTCGCTTCGCTCTTCGCTTTTCGCTTTTTGCTTCCAGCGGCGGTGGTCTGCGCTGTGGCTTTTTCTCTCCAGACATCGTAGGCACGAAGAAATGGCTCCAGGGAACTGGAGATCTTTGGAGCTGTGCGCGTGCAAGCCGAAGGCCGTCGAGCCGGAAGGAGTGCGAGCGGAAGGAGCGCGCTGGACAAATCTGCGTGCGCTGAAGTGTTGAAGAGGTCCAAGGAGGCACAACTGAAAAAATCCTGGCAAGCAATCATTCGTGATTCATGCATGGAGTATCAAAGAAAGTTCAAGCTTTCATAAAGCATTCACATCTCCTGCTGAATCGTAAAGGCCTCAATTCAGCAGGAGATGTGAATGTAAGCCTCGTGAACGAGCTTGCAAGCATGTGCCTGCCAGGACAATCTGGCCAGATTTCTTGCTGCTAAGATTGACACGCCATTGCTCAAGACGGCTACTACTGCCAGTAAGAACAACGCATTGCCATTCCAGACCTCAAACGAGAAAACATTGCCAGACACTACAATTGTCTTACTACAGTGTGCTGGAAAGCAAGCTTTGACAGAAGCTCCTAAGTGGCACCCCCTTCAAGGCCGGTCCCCCCACTCCATCTGGTACGCAACCCCTGATTCAACATGGCTTTCTCGATCCATGGAGAAACTATTCAATGTTTTCCCAGTTGCCTTAATCAGGGAGAGACTCCAATCCTCATCGTCTAGTAACTTGGTGCGTACGCCGCACGCCGACCGTATGACTGCTGCTCAATGCCGCTGATTCACAAGGCTTGTGGTGGAAGGCCGCCCAGGCAAGAGCAAACACAGTCGTCTCCAGGCAACAGCCAGGGTCTTTTTTGGACGTGCCCAAAACTTTGCTCCGGGCCGAAAATCCGTCCCCGCTTTCAGGACTTAGCACGAGCGCAAGGCACTCGAGAGGTCAGGTCAGTACCGGCGCACTCAGCGTCAGGCCCACCTCGGAAACGAGAGCTGGTCCCGCTGGTGGTGAAACTTGATTGGGAAACCAAACAGCAACCCTCAAAAATGGTTGGCGGACATAACCCAGGTGAATCATGTGAATGATGTCCACCAAGCTGGCAAACCCAAAGTGTCCAACAAGTTTCTATTCCACTGCTACCAGGAATAGAAGATCTCTTGGAGCACAGACCAAGAGCAAAGGGCTGTCAGCTTGCCAAATTTGTGCACAGTCACCAAAAAGCCGCAGCCAATAACCCATAGGGCCGCTCCATGATAGCAATGTCTTGAAAGCATTGGGGTCCAGCACTGTTCAGTGTTCCCTACAAGTTCCCCTTCAAAGAAAGCCAAAGACAACTGACTCAATGAAGGCCAAACAAACCTTCAAAACCAAAGAAATCACGGAAGATATGTGGACACAATGGCTTCCTCCTGAAGAGAGCGCCAGCTTGAAGTTCATAAGCCCGCGATCCGCGGAATTGTGAGGCAGGTTGACACAAGCTTGAACCACGAACGTTTAAACAACCTCCTCTAGGTTTCCTCAAAGCGCAACCAACCCTGCGTGGCATACAGCTCACACACACACACCCTTTCCCGGTCGCCCCTTGACTCCTTGCTCTCCCAAGTTTAATGAGAGCAACGGAGGAGTTCGGTGTGCAAGCCCGCATGCAGCTGCGTCAAGATCCACACATATTGGGCTATGCCTCGTGAAGTGGACCTTTTCGGGAGCGGCTTGGAAACGAACACCTCACGTCACAAATCATTTGGTTACTGCCAATTGTCGATGCCCCGGCAACCCGCACCACACGCTCGGGAGAGGTATGCCGCTCAAAGCTCACCATGGGGATGATGCGCGTCATGCACCCATAGAGCCCATAAAGCCCATAAAACCCATAAGACCCATGAACCCATAAAACCCGTAAACCCCACATAGCAAAAGACGCGCAAACAGCCCCCAACCCCATCTTCCCCCCCCCCCCCCGGTTGTCCAAAATAAGGCTCTCGGGCTCCCCAGCCACTTTGCAGGTGCCCAGCTCCGCCATTGCGGCGCAGCCCTTCAGCCAGCTGGCCTAGCGAGTCCCCTCCGAAGTTTGCTTTTTCGGCCGGCCCCCTCGGGTCTTTGCTTTTTTTCCTTTGCTTTTGGATTGTTTCAAGAAGGGTTGTTTCTTGTTTGTCGATGTTGTGCTTCAGTTGTTTTTTCAAATGTTGTGTGTTGCTCGTCTATGTGCTGTGTTTATTTCTGCTGGTTGTTGTTTCCCTCTGGTCATGTTTGCAAAAAGTACTTCCCTCGTTGTTGGGAGATACCAAGTTGTGGTCCGACGGATACTTGTTTTCCCCATTACGTTCCTTTTAGGAAATCCCAGGCGCTGCGAGATACAAGGGGTTTCTGAGCTATCGTGTTTTGATGTATGGCAGGTTTTGTTGAACACACATCGGGTGCTTCTTGAACACAAACAACCATCGGGGTTCACATCACCCAACACTTCCCGCTGGCCGCGTCCTAATGCCAATTGCCTCATGACGCGCCTTGAGGGGGATGGCTATCCTTACTGACCCTTACATGGCAATGGGGCATAACCTATGGCGATCCCATTTTGGGGTGGATGAACATCCATTTGCCGCCAATTTCGATGTTCACCAGGCAGGGTTTTGACCCACAGCCACATGGTTGCCCCTGTGGCAAGTCCGTGACACCAACTCCCCAAAACGGACCCGTTCGGCCATGGCACATGGGGATCCCCGTAGGAACCTTCGCGCCACGGAACTTCCGGGATCCAATTCCTGGGGCGCGGGCGGCTGCCAGCACCACGAAGAGGTGCCAGAGCTGGCGACACGGGCAGCTCGGTTTGGTTTCGCAGCTCGGCTGTTCGCTTTTTTGGCGATCTCGGCAGAGTTCAGAAGAATCCCATGACCACTTGGAGCAGGCTTCAGGTGTTGCCGAGCGAAGAATGAAAAGACACTTGGCTTCTCTGCGCACAGGATGAAAGTGGCCAGTCTTCATGCTACACCCGAAGATAAACATACAGTGCGGAAACCAAGGGACCCAATACCGATTTTCCGCTGTGGCTCGGTCATTATTTTGGTCCTTTTTCCTCAGCCGCCTTTTCTCTCTCTGGCAGCACGTCTTCTAACTCCGGGATCGGAATGTCAGCGATGAGAAGGCCCTCCTCACCTCAAGCAAAATCAAGATTGACCTGTTCCTCTCGGAAAGATATAGGCATCCTCTCTCACAACATCCCCTCCAAGTTGACGTCTGGGTGAATCGTATCACGCTCTCCCAGCTTGTGGCACGTGGAGCATCACCTCACCCATCAAATCCTTGAGATTTTGGGAAGGGGTGCTTCCACAAATAGAGTGCTCATCCACTAGGGGACTCCCTATTTTTTGGAAACACCACCAAGGAAAACGCCTTCAAACACAATCATCTCAAAATCCAGTTTGCTGTCGGCTGTTCTCTTTTCCCTCCTCCAGGCGGACTTGCCAGCACCGACCCAACCGAAAGGGTATCCAATTCTTTCTGACCCCCAACCAAGAATTTGCCTAAAAACGATCAGGAAAATCGCCATCCTAAGGGGTTCCTTTAAGCAAAAACGCCCAAATGGTCCTGGTTTGGACAAGTTTCCTCCAAAAGGACCGACGGACATCCCCATCTTTCCCACTTCGAATCCAGGCGCTGGCTGAGAGCTGCTCTAGGACCTGCTGGTCCCGCAGGGAGATGACGCCTCGATCCCCCCGTTTCACGTTCAACGCTCTGCCGTGGCCCGTGAAAAGGGCGCCTGAAACGGTGTGTCTCAAACTGGGACCTTTTGGCTTCCCTCAAACCCATACCAAAAGGCACCCTAGGTCGAGAATTGGCCAAATGTTGGATGTTGGTCATTTCTGGGCGGGGAGGGTTGTGGAACGAAGCTCGTGAATCTTAAAAAGGGCCAAAAGGTGATGTTGTCATCCCAAAAAAGGGCGTATGTCAGAACTGTTGCTTCTTGCCAGAAATCTCCGATGCAAAGACCATCAACAACTACAACCAGTTGGCCCGGCCCTGTCAAGTCTGGGCCAGCTGTTTGCAACAGGTTCTTGGTCAGCCTCTTCTAGAGTGGATGCACTCATGTTGCACCTCCCGACCCCCGCCCCTTGCCCAAAACCAACACCGGTCATTCAAACAAGTAGCGTTCCGCTGCAAACCCCCAGCCCTTCCCACTTGCCCAGCGTTGTATCGCGACCCACTTTGGCCCGGCCACCAATAGTTCTCGGTTTTTACAGCCATGGGAGAGGAAGCCATCCGTTTGCTGTGCTCTTGGGAAAAGATCCGCCCTCCGCTTTGGCTGATAAAATCGGCCAAGAAAAGCCTGCCCTTTGTTTGGTTGTTTTTTCTTTGATTTCACAGAGGGAACCTGCCCAAAAGAACATTGTCAAGGCCGTTTTTGGTTGGTGATCCACCCAATCCAAAACAAGCCGCCTAGGGATCAGAAAGATAGACAAAGGGCAACCTGAAGCGGGCTTCGGCATTTCTGGCGTGTCCCGCACCAACCAAACAAAAGAAAAAACGTGTTTGGTGTCCTCCGTTTCACAAAGCAACCTGGAAGAGTCGCCGGCAATAAAAACGAACTACTCCCCTGCAGATTGACATGGACCCCCTACAAAGTCTATCCTCTTTAGGGGGGTCTCCTTTTGTTTTTGGGTTTTAGCTGGCTGGTGCATGGTAACCTCGCGCTTGTTTGTCTAAATTGCTTTGTGGTGATAGCTAACCGATTCCTGCTCATGTGTCGATCTGACCATGAAGCCGGCCAAATTCATGTGGCTAGGGGGTCATTTACCCTCCACAAGAACCAATGTTCAAATCCTGAAACCCCAATCCACCAAGCCAAAGCACCAACAAAGGGTTACCTGACTCTACTCCAATTTGCAAATGCATCCTCCCGCCCGGAAAATATTCGCGGCGACGACCAAACTTCCATCAAGCCGAGCCGCAGCTGGTGCCGCAGAACTGGTTCTGCAGCTCCGTGTTGCGGCCCAAAAGCTCCAAAGGCTCCCGGCCCACCCGGTTGGCGCACACGAAGTAGACCTTTCGACTTGGAGCTCCACTGGTTCCTTGCGGAGTCCATACGCATATGATTTATACATATGCATAGGTGCGTGCGTAATTTGCGAATGACCTCCAGCGGCCCCCATGATCCACTTTGGGCTGCTGAACAGGAGGAAAGGCAAAAGATGGCCCCCTTGAAACATGATCCCAGAGGAAAACCAAGCTGAAATTTGCCCCCAAGACCATCTCTAGTTGCTCCGCTTGCTGGGGGATCTTTCTGGATACAGCAGAAGTTTTCGGGGGGGGGGGGGCTTGTGGCGCCCTTTCCGGGCCAACACGCGGTTTGTTCCCATCCCCAAAACGGCTATGACAGAAAGCCCGATGCCCGATTGCCCACAACCAAGCAGATCTCGGGGGAGGGGGGGGGGTGGCTTTAAGGGTCAGTTGTGGAATTGTTCCCAAACATTTAGCTTTCCCAACTCACACTTGCAAGATTGGCACACAACTGTTTTTTTTCTCAATGCCCGACTTAACAACTCAAACAACCAGCCCAAAAACACAACTCAACAACATGCAAAAAACAGTGAACCATGCATTTGACACTCACAAATGCTCCAAGCTTCGTGAGGTCCAGTTGGCCCATTCAGTCCGCTCTCGTCTCTTTCCCGCTTCTGAACCCCTGATAATGTTATAATGTAGAGGACTGTTCCCCAGCTGCAAGCTATGGTTGCTGTTGTGGATACCACCTGCCCTTATTCATTTGTTGGCTCGAATGGAGCCTGACTCAGGACTTGGGATCCCATCGCAGGCGGAATGGCTGAGTGTCACCGGCAGCCGCATCAACATCTTCAGCATTGGCGCAAAAACACAAACGACGTCGGGCCTTTGGCTTCAAGTTTCAACAAATGCGGGCGTTTGTATACGCCATTTGGGCTGGAGTGGTGGAAAATGTGTGTATATATATATATATGTATACTATATACATATCCGCCGACATTATTCGGCGTGTCGGATACCTACGAGAGGATAGAGGAAAACGTGCTGCGCGGCAATCTGATGAAGGAGCCGGTGTGGAAAAACACGGGTCTCAAACAACACTGTGTTTTCGACCGCCGTTTCGCGAAAACGTTGAAAACTACCGTGTTGTTCTTACAATATGATTGGCCTCCTTCAGGCTGAAAAACACCGTTTTTGGGACTAACGGCAAATGAAGCTGCAATGAAGGGAAATGAATCAGAAATGAAGGGTCAATGCAGCGGACATGTGCAGAAATGCAGAACAGCGCAGGCGAGCAGTGAAGGGGGACTGACGGGGAAAGCCGCGGAAATGAAGGGAAATGAAGAGGCAATGCAAGGGAAATGCAGGGAAAACACGCGTACATGAAGGAGGGGAAATGACGGTGAAGTAAAGGGAAATGCAAGGACCCGCAGGGGACAGGAAGCGGATGCAATGTCGGCGGACTGAACCGGAGGCTCTAAAGCATACATATAGTATACATATATATATATATATATTATACATATACAAGGAAACCTCAATGCATCACCAGCTGTGTGAGCCTCACCTGCATCAACTGCATCACCCGCATAATCAGCATCTGTCAGCATCTGCATCATTTGCGCCAGGCGCATTCCAAGTGTCACCCTCATCATTTCTCAACAAGATGATCAAGCTTGGGTCTCTGTGGATTGCGTATGGGTTGCTTGGCCCTCTCAAGATGGCCGAACTGGTCCAAGGAGGTCTCCTCAACACTTTCCCTCCCTGGTCTTCTCAAAATCCTGGAGGTTCTCTGGAGCATTCACGGGATGTTGAGCTCTCGATCTGGAAACTGGATCCCTGAACACTCGGCGCCTTGGGTCCAATGGTTCTCCGGTTTTGGGACGTTGAGCAGTTGAGGCGCCACACGTGGCATTTGTGTGTCAAGCTGTTAACCGGTAACCCAGACAACATCACGTTCCTTGCCAACGAAGTGCCGACCAACAAGAGCACGATGGGTCGTACAAGGGGTCCCACGGTACCAAGAGGAAGCCCATCAATTTGGGGAGGGGAATTCCCTAACTTTGACCACACCGCATGTGGCGGACCCTTTGAAAAACAGCATTCAGGATTCACCACTTTTGAGGTGGTTACAACTGTTCAATTCTTAGCCATATTCACAAAACATACAAATGGGAGGTGAATTTAAGGAAGAACAGAAGGAAACCGACCGCTTTTTGTTTTTTTTTGGGGGGGGGCCTGTTTTGGGATGTGGGAACAAACATTGGGGGAGGGCGGGCTCAACTTTTTCCGCACCTCCCGCCCGTGGAGAGGCCCCAGGCGCCGCAGCCAGGTGTTTAAGGTCTCCTCAAAGCATGTTTGGCGTCGGATGACCAGACTACAAACGGAGACTGGCGCCGGAGGACCAGATCTGAAAGCATATTTGTGAACAGACTACAAACAGAGAATTTGCGTCGGATGCGGATCTGAAAGCCCAGGTTGCTTTGTTGGGTTCCTGGTGGTGTGCGGTTCCGATGGGTCCTGGAAGGGTTCCGGGTTGTGGAGCGGTTGGATTGGGTTCCGAGGGGTTCCGAGCTGCCGAGGGTTC